CGATACGTAATATCGGATCGGTCCATCTCTAGTCTGTAATATGGAGCCATGCTGCTGTACATCAGGAGTGTGGTCTGATACTGAATTTCTGAAGTAATCAACACCAGAAGAAGACATCTGGGTACCAACATGTGTTGCTTTAACACCCCCAAAGATCTTCTAAGCTACTCATGTTGTGCAAAATGCTAGCTTTGAACTGTGCGTGGACAGTGGGCCCACTGTGGCTCACAGCATGACAAGGTGTCCTTGACCAAGATATTGAATCCTAAACTGTGCCATCAGTTTGTGTGACTGATGAAATGCCCAAAATAAGCACCTTGTGTTTGAACAAATGTCTTTTACAGATTGGATGAAGGCAACAACGTTTTAAGATGTTTATATAACTGTTGTCACCTTGCAGGGACTTCCTCTGTGGTATGGTCCTGGCTATTCCTGCTATTGTTGCTAGGTGCATGTCAGTGTGTTACCCTAATCTGATTGGCTTTTGTCTTTCTTTCTTTTAACCTCTTTCAGATCGTGTGGTGAACTGAAAAGAACGCTGAAGCAAAGGTGGAGAGCAGCAGGACTTTGGTCTCCTGCTGTCCCGTGTTTTTGCTGGAAACCCCACTTCTCTCACTGCCCAGTCCACTCCTACTGTTCTTTCTGTTCGTTCACTCTCCTTCTATCATCTATCTGCCATCTTGCTCGACAAATAGGTCAACAGAATCCAAGCGCCAAAAACTAGGAGACCATCTCAGCTGTTTCTGTAGAAGCACTGCTGATAGAAAGAACACAAGTGGATGTAACTGCCCCCACCCACAGAGTTTGGTTCAGTCCCACGGGCGATGAGACGAGCCAGGAGCTTCATCTTTCTCTAGACACTTTCCTCTACACCTTCTGTCTTCATGCTTTGGGGGTCCTCAGGTGCCCCCACCCCGTGTCGACCCCCCCACACCCGTTGCCACCACGGCAGACCACCCCAATCGCCTTGTTGCCATGCCGACAGAGACACTGACTCCAGCCCTGCCAGATAGCAAGGCTGCTGGCCCTGCAACGCCCTTCAGTTCCACTGTACCCCTCCGCATCCTCAACAAGGGCCCCGAGTACTTCAGGAGACAGGTACTGTGTGTGTTAGGATGTACGTAGATCTGTTCAGGGAAATGTTGGATTGAACTGAAGCGTCAGAGGTCATAACTTTAAGCGTTTTGCCCACGAAATTCCAGGGTCGAGCTCATTTGTATAACCAATATAATTCCATAATAATTGGTCATTTGTGAGTCGTATAATACCGTGTTTTAACCCTTTAAAGCCGGTCAGAGC